TGACCTCAAGAAACCGATGTGTTGTGCCTTTTGTGCGGGCTCACAGATCGTGCATTGATTTCAATGCGCATTCAGAATGCGTCCAAATGGCACGCGGTCCCATGGGGTTAGCACGCGAAAATGACCATTGTCGTTTAGAGGTAAACAGCGTCAAAAGGCCTAAACGAAACGTAGGCAACAGGCAAACAATAAGTACTATTTACAAACTATATTTTGCATTTATGTATTTGAAGACTATTTACTGAAGCTTTCAAAAATTAACATATCAACTCAACAACCTCATGTAAACTCATCTAGGCCGATTCATAAGAGCAGAGTTATTTGTTCGTCAATGTCAAGATTATTTGGGAATTGGTGTCTTGAGTTCTTGCGACGCATCCATCATTATCAGGAAATCGGAATGCGTGGTATTGGTACCGTTATTACTTTATTTTCTATGGTGAGACAATTACTTTTCAAATGCAGTGTATGCAGTCACTTTCACCTATCGTCCCTTTAATTGTAGAGAGACTTGAGCTGGCGCCAGTAAAACTTCATTATTTTTGCCATGCGCGCATAGAAGCGTACTGGGTTGTGTTTGCCCTAGGGACTCTTTTAGCGTCATACGTTCCTTCTAGGGTTTACAAGAAGAAGCGTGACTATCGAGTTAGTGAGCTTTATGCTGTGCGTTTGGCATCTCAGTAATCCGTACCCGCTAACGGCTCCTGTCCACGTTTTATCGTTCAGACGCATTACGTGTTGAAACTTGTCTGCTCTTCATTGTATGGACGATAACGCTGACTGATCTTCAATCCTGCTTAAGTAGCGATCAGTTTTCCAGAAATTAGGCAGCAGGAGTCATGGAGTTGAAAGGGTCGGCACGGAGTCCTGTTTTTCAACTTCTCTTTACTAAATCCTCGATTCTCTTGAGAGATTCCCAAACCGCTCACTTTACCCTACTCAGCTCTGGCGCGAAGTTGTATCTTATATGAGCTCCTTTCTCTATCCTCTTACATCTCTTTAGGAGTCTACGGTCTAAATAGACGTAACTTGTGAGAGAGAGGCAGTCACATGTTAACTGGAGAATTCGAAGATATACATTCCTCTCAACGATGGTGCATGCGAAGCAAATCCGTTCCTCATAAATTTCGTTTCTGTAAGATTCACTTGAAAACCAATCATCTCCAAGCGATGCTGAGATCGATCAACATCTACCTAATAGACCTTGGTGTAGTAAGAACGATGTCACCAGCAAGCCGAGGATGGTGCAATTGTCGACCATCGCTTTTAATCCCATGTTATCCTATTCTAATGTCCGAATGACGTTCTGGAGAGTGGGAATCTTTTAGCGAAATGATATCGCCTTCTCAGACCCCTTTCTTTACGTTGATGTTGATATCTCTGTGTTATTTTGGTTGTGAAACTTCTTTGTTGCTCATGAAGAATTTTTCTGAGCAGAGGCGTCCTTATGGCAGAGCTTCCGTGACTGCTTTTGCCTCAACTTAGTCGTAAATTTTCTCTAAATCGCAAAAGTAAGATGCAGCGGTTTCTTATGCTCTCTTGAGACATCAGTGAGTCTTGTTAATGTGTTGATATGTTCTGTAGTACTGAATTTCTTTCAGAACCGTACTTTTTCACGTTGCTGTCCATCGTCCCTTGTGAGTCTTGTTGAGGATGACTTGAGTGAAGATTCTATGGACGACAGACAAACACGTTGAGCCATAGTTACCGATGTCTCGTTTTATAATAAAACGGTTTGCTAATCTCCTGAATAGTAGAAACCTTGAATTATGACATAATCCGTGAAGAATCAATCCATTGTATGGATGAGAAATGACGGACGGTTCTTCAGGCGATCAGGTCTCAGTCAGAGGGCCAACATGTTATTCGATAATTCACCGGCGAAATGGCATGTTGAATTTTAGATTGGAAACTGGTAGGACGTCGCACGTATCATCCATTGTGCGTGATAGTTATTTTCAAGCCATGCACGTGGTTTGTTAGGGGCACTTATGCAGTAAAGATACATGTGTTTCCGCCTTGTTGCCTCGTCAGTTGCACGGTGCCTTTTCGTTCAGTCAATTCCTTGGGGATCTACCCGTACTAGAGGAGTCGACGATAAACATTTTACACGCGCCGATAAGTGATAAAATCACCGAACGGGCAGTGTTGTACACTCGGTTGCTTTTGGCTGGAGTCGTGAAATGTAATACCTTTCGTTTCGAGTGTTTCGTGAGACCGCGTTCAAATTTCACTATGCCTAATAGTTATTTTTTAGCCATGCGTATGGTCTGTTATAGGCTTATCAGCGCTTATAAAACGTTGGTCGTCGACTCCTCTATGTAAGAGGTAGATCTCCAAGGAAATGACCGAACGAAAATGACGAGGCTGCAAGGCCCAAGCACGTGTACTGCATTGTATAAGTGCCCATAACACGCCACATGCATGGCTCGAAAATAATTATAAGGCATACTGAAATTTGAGTGGTCTTAAGAAGCACTCAAAACGAAAAGTATCCTCTTTCATCCATATAGATGTGGGAGGATCAGACTACTGAAGAGGTTCGAGTAGTGTTCATGGATAATTTTCTGCATTGCCTTTCTGGAAGGTACAAATGTTCCATCTGAGCGCCGCAGAGCAATTACCTTGACTCTGTAACTGGCGAAGCCAGCGGGCTTCGCAAATGCTCTTCACAGCTTTTGCAGCTTCAGCTACAATTGCTGCTCTTTCCTTCCCGAGCTTCGGCCACAATTGCTGCTCTTTCCTTTCTTAAGTTTTTTTTCTCAATTTTTCCGAATAATGGAGTGCTGTGCAAAGGAGTCGATGCACTCATCTCGTGTAAAATTGTGGATCAACAACATCTTAAAAGCAGAACCTTCGATCTACTAACATGTGATCGACTCGTAACGTTACTCTCCAGTGAGAAACACCCATAGTTGAGAGTGGTGTTTCCAAAACGATATTTTAGCATGAGTGTTCGGGGTTGTCATTATAAACTCAAGCAGGCACCCACTCTACTGGCTCCTTCTTGAGTCGCGATATCTAGTATGACGTTTCTTAGGTGTTGCTCCGAATTCGTAGTTTGTATTTCAGTCTCGAATGTTGACTTAAAGAATGCTCCGTGTAACAAGAACGTTGAACATATTTCCTGAAACCACTTGCGCTTAGGTTAGCGCAAGGTCGTCCGTGGTGTGCTTTACACTCTTTTTTACCAGCCACCTGGGAATGAGTTAGTTATTCTCCCTCCTTGAAACTCGTGATTGAGGGAGATCCGTTAGACGCACGGATTAACCGTCAGGAAGTTCACCAATTTCACTAAATCATTTCCGAATCATAAATTTGCATAGGGTAAGCGATATGAGAGCTTTTCAGGGTTGGGATTGTTTGGCATTCATAATTTGGCCGTATTTTTCAAATTTTGGTACAACCTTCTCATTTTGCGGTGCAGCTGTTTCCTATCTCGAAGCATCAGCATGATGAATGATTCCGACACAGGAGAATTAGGGTCTACTCATAAGCACACTTAACTGGAATTGTGTTATTGTTTCTCTTATAAACGTAAATCTCGAAAAACTGATAGATCGAAACGATGAATCGCGACTTTACAAGCGCCTGCATAATTCACTCGGACCCACCTGGGGTTTCGTACATGTCAAACCACGTTTTACAACGGAGATTAATCTTTGGCTATGTGAGCGAAAGCGTCAATGAGTTAAGAATTCACCTTTGAAACTCAGCAAAAAATGAAGCTTTGCCACTGTAAAGCCTCGCGAGCTCTAATTGGTAACTTGTATCACTCGTACAGAGAAAACTCCCTTCCATTAATTCCGACTACAAATGTGCTGCCAAGTGTCATTCAAAGGTCTTGTGGCAAGAAAAACAGCTCTTCAGACTTTACAAAGTTTACAAAATTAAAAGATTTTTTTTGGGGTTAGGTAATTCGCTTCCTCGTGTGCAAAGGCGATTTCAGCGCCTGCTGTACAACATATCTAGTAGTAAAAAGACTCTTTAATCTGTTTAATGCTGCAAAACCTTTACACATTCTTGCGACGAAATCATCTCAGAGGAGTCACATGTTAGAAATGTGATTTTTTGCTGCTCCATGTACTACTATGATCTACAAATGTTTCTCTGGAGATTAGACGCTCTTCTGTTTACTAAGAGAGCTGATTCTATGGAGGAGAGGGGTCTTGGTTTACGTCGCTTCCATTTCATTTTTTAGAGCTCATTATTTGAACACTAAAGCAGCCGAAGAATCAATTATGTCTGCAACAGCCGCTTTTTCGTTGGAAAACGCAAATTTCGTTGTCATTTCTATTGGAGATTTGAATTCTAAACATGTTTGAATTTGAGACATCATGTAGAAAAGATATGTGTGAACAGTGCGATAGAGCGAAGTCTTTTCTATAAACCATAAGGATGTGAACTCGTTCTGACGTCGTTCCATAACGCTGGTGACATCCTTTTCATAATACCAAACATCTCAGGTAGAACGAGGTATTCTGACTTGGACAGTGCTTGTGGACATATTGGTCTCCTACTGAATCTGGCGAAAATGATGTTACTGAAGAATGGATGGGTAGTGAATGCCCAATTCACGCCCAACGAAACTAAAATCTCCTATTGCTCTGGTTACGTTTATTTAGGTCGCGAACTCAGCATAATGAATGACCTAACTCCTGAGTTGAGCAGGAGGAAACGAGCGTCTTGGGGAACGTTTAAGAGCATCTAGGACGTAGTGAAGAGGACGAAGAACATCCGATTCTGTGCCCACCTCTTCGACTCTTATCCCTGTCCTAAGGTATGCAGCAGAAACCTGGTCGCTACGCAAGCAGGATAAAAGATCGCTTGCCGTTGTGAACGCTCAATGGGAAGGTCAACGAACTATATAGACGTGGATGCTGAGTGGTATACAAGACTTTTGAGTTTGAACAGGATTTGAACCCGCGTTTTTCACATAACATACCATATTATTGATAGCTAATGTATTATATAAGAGAAAAAGGAGCAGCAAAGGGGTGGCCTTGATGTTGTAGTGGTAGGACGTGCGCCTTGTATGTGTGATACGCGGGTTCAACTCCTGTTTAGGGTCGAAATTTCTGTACATTATTTAGCATTCACGAATATTCAGCTATAAATATCGAAAGACGACGGATTTTGCCCGACTGACGAGCTGTAAGGACGAAACACGTTTATTGAGCTGTACAAGAGCCCTTACCAGACCACATGACAAGTTGGCTCAAATAATAATGAAACGATCTATTGAAATTTGAGCGTGGTCTTAATAAAGCACTCGAAATAAAGGTATTCAGCTATAACATTATGATGGTGCCATAATATTATAAAAAAATATGTAAATGCCAGAACCATCTTTTATCTCGCAAGTGAACGAAGGGATCTGAAGTTCCGGTTCAACGATCAAAAATCAGAGACCAGTTTTACTCACCAAGTTATCAAAGATCAGGTGGGCTGGTCACATAGTGCGTCTCAACGCGAATCGATGGACAAGAATGGCGCCTGCTCGAGTCACTTGACTATTAGCCAAACATGTGATAGAGGTGTATAATGTTGGGAGCGAACCGAACGACCAACCTATCTCTCATAGATCTCTCAAGTCTTTTAGTCCTCATCTGCTATAGTTACTAGTAGATCGTAAGGGATCGTAAGGAGTTGTCGAAGAGACAGCGCTGTCACGGCTGAGTCAAGTGTCAAGTTGAAGATGTGGTCATATGCGTGCTTGTTTCCGTTCGCGATGTTGAGAGAATGACTAATTCGCTTTAATGCCTTTTAATCGATTATTTTTTGAAAACCTCGCTATAAAGATTGGATAAAGTCTGAAAAAATGTTGAGCATCATCAACATGATCAGTACTGAATAACAGTCCCAAGTTATGGACTGAAAAAAGGATTCAAACAAGATTTCACTTTGTGTGGTCCTATCACGCTGTGTCTCCCGTTCCTTTACTATCAGCAAGGGGTGACTAGTGCGACGTGTGGCTCTGATGAGGCAGGCGGGCAAGAACACCAGAACGTTTGCATGTCACTGAGTCGAACAGGCTTACAACATTCTCTCAGAATATATGGAGGTCCTTAGGATACTAATATGCAGGAGTGGCCAATTAGCTGCTTGATATCGCAGTATACCCTCACTTAAGTGGTTATTTTTTTCTATAGACAACTTGTCATCACAATTCCCTGAGCTGAGATAGCGGCATTTTTTGCGTTAGATCCATTTCCTTGCATTCACCCTCCACAAAAGTCTTCGAACATTGCGCGTGTTCCTTCGGTTACAGGATTTTTTCTGCTTATTATGAATGTCGTCGACTAATGGTCGGAATGACTCTTCTTGCAATTTCGATGGTGCCTAAGCTAAGGCTTTCCCTAAAAACTTTCGTTGATTGCTTGCAAAAGTATATTCGGTAAGGGATTGAACCAAGGCATTGTTTATCACCGTGATTTTTGAAGCATCACTGACCCCTCGCGGCAGGCACCCCGCCCTTTTGCTGTAATCTTGAGGGCAGCAGAGCTGAAGCCATCCCACTCGATTGATTTCAAGAGAATGTTGGGGCAAGGGGTCGAACCAGCGCCGTAGTTATCACCTTCTTTCCTACACACCACATCGCTAACCGCTATACTGAATGGTTTTTTTTTTTCAAACATACACGCTAATACATCTCTTTTTTACCCGCGAAGTTAGTTATTTTCGTCATAAATGTGTCTAATTTGAGACTTATCGTGTCTCTTCGATCGTATCATTTCAATCAATTTGATTCGTGCTCATTATTCTCCAACATTTTTCAGGTGTTTGGCCGCGACACGGGTTTTTACCTAATCACAGTTGATAGTGACGATGGCAAGTGAATTGCCAAGTGAGGAGAAGGTCTCCATGGAGAACTTCGCCTTACTACGGGTGCTTGGCAAAGGGGGTGAGTACTGAGCGGAGTTCCCCAGCTCTTCCTTTTTTCCTACACACACAACATGTATAGGGGAATTGATGCCGCCATAGTTTCATGCTGTCCGTCCTTTTGATTCTCGTCACAAACTAGCACACGAAGTCATGGATTAATCCCATCCAAAAAAAAACAGCTGAATGCGGTGAAGGAGATGCCTTTTAATGGATATGAGGAGATTGAGGGATTAGTGTGAATGTCAACTATGATGCATAAGCGCATGTTCTTGATCCAATAGAAAAACACTAAGTGGTTTTGGATTTACGAATCGTATGTGCTCCAAAAAAGTTTTTCAGCCTATGGGAAAGTTTTCCTTGTAAGGAAAGTCGGAGGCAGGGACCATGGCCAGATCTATGCGATGAAAGTGCTCAGAAAAATAAGGGTTTGTCACTTTCTCTGCTTGATCTAAATTTTCTCGAGTGGGTTAGAGACATTAGTTTGAAGCTCTGCTCATAAAATAACTGCGCGAAAATTCCATAGAATAGAGCAGTCTAATTTTTTTTTTTGTAAAAGAAAAACGGACAAACACGTGTGCTTCTTGGTAATGAAGTAATGGTTCAAGTTCTTTTATAAAACCTTTTTCGGAATAAGAATCAAAGAATTAACTAGAGTTACTACTTAGTATTATTTCCCAACATAAACCGCTCTTATCTGATGGAAGTTTAGGGTATTTTATCTACGGAATTTTAGGGTATTTTGTTTGCACGCGTGCAAGATCTTTTGTTCGTGAGTGTAATCAAATCCATTGAGGACGACGTGCATTCATTTGAATGCACGCGCATCTCTTTTGATTTCTCTCCATACAGCTTTTCCATCGTTGTTGATCATTTGATACTTTTAAAAATGACGGTTTCGTGAATGTACTTGGTTTCTGGAGAGGCATTTTCAGTACGCTGTAGCACGAGAATAAGACTATGTTTCACACTTGGCATGCATTTTCTGCTCAATCTCGATTTCGTCATTGGCTTTTCATTAGGCTTTTGTAGTCATTAGACAATATGATTCTCATCTATTTCAAAATCGAGTTAATTTCTGGAAAGGTTTCCGTAGAGCGTTCTAGGAGCGGCAAGAAGATCACGCTTCACACATGAACTAGTTAACCCGCCGCTTGAACTTCAAGCGGATTTATTCGGCAATATGGAATGAGAATAAGAGGTTTTTATTGAGCGATCGAACAAAGTCTTTTGTACAATTCTAGCGTAAGAATTTCGAAATTCTCTTGGAACGGAGAGGAAATCTCCAATTAATGTTGGAACTCGCGCTCTTTCGATGCCCCAGTTGAAATCGTTGCGTGCAGCGCTACTCCAAAGGCGCCCAGTGTTCTTGTTTATCTAAATTTTTTTCCTCCGTTTTCTAGAAAGTCTTAGATTTTTCGTGATCCGCTGTTATATCACGGTTCTCTCTACACGTTTATGTGCTTTTGAGACCACAGTCGTGCAAACAGGATAAATTAAGTGTAAAACATGATATTATTTTCGATGCTACATCATAATAAGGGAAGCTTTTCAGTAGTCAAACATATTATTGAAATCGTCGAAATTCAAGGTTTAAAATAGTTACTAAGGGTCTGAAGAAGAGTTTTTTCTTGGCGAGAGAGACGTCAAGAAAGCTGTGTATCCTTTTGGATACACGCCGTCTTGAAAAGGGTTAACAGCAATGTGCACCAAAAGATTCGTTCCACCTATCAGGTACAGTGAGACTATGGGGTTTGGCTTTTTTTTTCGAGATGTTCGCCTAAGTGTAAGACTGAATTACGGTCGAGAGTACTCTTGGTTACCTTCTCGCCAAAAGCAATCAAATGAACAGTCTTTTGAAACATTCCGATGTGTATTTCTTCGTCAAGTGAAGCCCTAGTGGGCAGCTCTGGCGTCCGTCAGGAACGAATAAGAATTTTAGCGGTGCATCCTTTAGTTTCAGGACGATTTATGTATAATAGGTGATGCAAGTGGATAAATTATGGAATAGCGAAGGTTTCGAAGATGGTTATCTCTCTCATCGCAAGTGTTTTAGGTTCTCTCAAAGCCTAAGTCGGTCGAACATACAATGGCAGAGCGACAGGTTTTGGAGCGATTACGGGGCGTCCCGTTCTTCGTCAATCTCTACTACGCTTTCCAGACCGACACTAAACTACATATCGTCATGGGTTCGTGCGTCGATTGATTTCCTCACATCCTTATCTCTCCCTTTTTCCTTATTCATTCTGTCATTTCTAGACGATTTCCAGTCACCACTTTAGCCTGGGGAATATTTAGAGCGGATTCGAGGTTGATACATCAGTTCTATACGTACGTATCGGCGGTATCGCCCGCTTCATCAGCCCCACAGTGAACCCTGCTTTGTAGCAGGGATGGGGAGACGTTATGGTGATGATAGCATATAGGGTTAAATGTGGGGCGTGTGCCTTTGATGAAATGGGCGATACCGCCGATGCGTACGCGTGGCGCTGAAATACTAACCCCGAGAATGCTCCAAACATTCTCACAAAATAAGTATGGAATGTATAAAACGTGATTTAAAAACCATTCGATGAGATGAATTTCAATTTCGGTTTTTTTAGAATACGTCCGGGGTGGTGAACTATTCACACATTTATGTAGCCATGGTTCGTTTGATGTGCAGAGCGCCAGGTTTATCATAGCCGAACTAATAGTTGCCATCGATAGCCTCCACAAGGTAAGGAGACTTATCTGACTGCAGAGCGTCTCTTGCTTTCCACAGGTTTTTTGAGAATCCATTTCCAAAATTTTCTTCTCCTTCTTTTCCGTTTTAAAGTTGGAGTATTTCCTATACGAGAGTTCTCGGCGTGGCTGATCTTGAGACTTTATGGCGCATTGCAAGGCAAAACTTAGACGCGAATCCAAAGAAGTCATTTATGTACAGTGAGGCAGACCAGGGACAACTTTCTAGTGCTGTGTCGGATTAGATCTATCTTTCTTTGTGCACCAAAAATGTTCGCCCCAACTATGTTAGCGTGTGTGGCACAGTAGTTAGACATGTTGTAAGACACACAATTGGTCAATGGTTTATTCCCGCTCTTAAGGCTCACGAAGCCTTCCATCCCTCCAGGGTTAACCAATTGATATCAGACTCGTCCGGGACGATATCGGCAATTACATGGTACATCGGTAGACCATAGCGAACCA